TATATATATATTTATATTTTTGTATGTATTTATATATATATATATATATATATATATATATATATATATATATATATATATATATATATATATATATATTGGCCGCAGTATTTGAGTGTGTGTGTGTAAATGCGAGAGTGTATGGGTGTTTTCCAGTTGTGGTTGAAAGGGCATCCACTGTGTAAAACAAATGCTGGAATAGTTGGCGGTTCATTCCGCTGTGGTGGCCCCTGATAAATAAGGGTTATTCCGCTGAAGGAAAAATATGAGTTAATAATAGTAATGTCAACAAATATATAAAAAGTGAAGTGTCATGAAGGGAATTCTGGAAAAGACAATTTACATTTATTCACAGTATATATATATATATATATATATATATATATATATATATATATATATATATATATATATATATATATATATATATATATATATATATACTTACTGTTAACCAGGTTATGGATTTTTACAGTAGCATTCTTACAGTGTTATCATTGAATTCACAGTGTATTGTTGCTGACAATGTGCATCCTCATTATTTTCTTGATCTTGAAACAAATTTTACACATACATTTCGTAAGCTTTCTACCGTATGTATAAATTTGATGTGTGCTATTGTTTTTCTGGTGCTAAGCAAACCATGTATACACCCCAGTGCTGTGCAGTCTGGCTCTGCAGCATTATATCGTGTGGTTAAACTCTCATGTCTGTGTGGTTAAGCAGGAAGTTGTTATTTTGATCCCAACAACAAGCAAGTAGCACACCATTGTTCTCTTGCCAAAAAAAGTCAACTAATGGTCTATATGCTCAGCAAATGTTTGACAGCCACCAAACTTCCGTTAAAAGCTTTATATGACTGTTTTCAATTGAATAAGGTTCTTTTTACAGCATTGATAATGTAATTGATTTAATAATATAATAAGTCAAATAAACTGCAGCATTAATAGTTGTTCAAGCCTAAAATAGGAACTCCATTTACAGTTTTAAAAACCTGTGCTTGTCTTCATATTCTCTATGATTCATCAGTGCATTATATTGTGAAAAGCTGAAGACAGTTGAATCGATTTCTTCACCTTCAAAATACATTTTCTTTCACCTTGTGGGCTGTTGGCAATTTAATTCAATTCATCTATATTTTTATAGCACTGTTACAATGTAGATTGTGTCAAAGCAGCTTAACATAGAAGTTCTACAAAATGTAAATTGAAACAGTGTCAGTGCAGTTTTCAGAGTTGAAGTTCAGTTTAGTTCAGTTTAGTTCAGTCAGTGTGGTTTAATTTTCACTGCTGAAAGTCCACACACTGAAGAGCAAATTAGCCAGTGGCGAGGAACAAAACTTCACCGATTGACAAAAGTGAAGGAAAAAAACATGGAAAGACACCAGGCTCGTTTAAACATTAGGTGTAACATAAAAATCTGATGTTAACAAAAAATGTATATAACCTATGGCAGGGGTGTCCAAAGTCAGTCCTGGAGGGCCGGTGTCCTGCTGAGTTTAGCCCCAACTGGCCTGGACACACCTGCCTGGAAGTTTCTAGTAAATCTAGTAAGAGCTTGACTAGCTGCTTCAAGTGTGTTTGATTAGGGTTGGAGCTAAACTTTTTAGTACACCAGCCCTCCAGGACTGATTGTGGACACCCCTGACCTATGGGAACTTTAAAAAATATACATAAAAAAAAAAAAAAAAAAAAAAATATATATATATATATATTGGCCGCAGTGTTTGAGTGTGTGTGTGTGTAAATGCGAGAGTGTATGGGCGTTTTCCAGTTGTGGTTGAAAGGGCATCCACTGTGTAAAACTGTGTAAAACTTCACCGATTGACAAAAGTGAAGGAAAAAAAAACATTGAAAGACACCAGGCTCGTTTAAGCATGACCATTTCTCCTCTCACCAAACTTCTTGTGCAGAGCTGCAGTCTAGGCCCCGGAGGCTGGAGAACGCTCGACATCCATTGTGGAGAAGCTGCAGGTATGAGTAGGTCACCGGCAGGTGTTCAAGGTGAACCTCGGACATTATCAGGCAGACTATTATAGAGTTTAAGGGCCATAAATGAGAAGGCTCGACCTCCTTTAGTAGAATTTGCCATTCTGGGTACTACCAGAAGCTCCTGAGCCGAGCTAGATTATTTAAAGCTTTATAGATAAAAACCAATATTTTATAATCAATAACGAACTTTACAGGCAGCCAGAGTAGGGAGGATAAAATTGGGGTGATATGATCATATTATCTAGACCTGGTAAGAACAAACTGAAGTTTGTTAATAGAGGATGCTGGGCAGCCAGCGAACAGAGCATTACAGTAATCCAGCCTTGAAGTCATTAAAGCATGAACTAGCTTTTCTGCATCTGACATGGACAGCATACTTCGTAACTTAGTGATATTTCTCAGATGACACAAACCGGTTTTTGTGATATTTTACAGTAGAGCTACTAACTTTGTATCCCTCTAATTGGTCGAGTTGTGAGATCTGCTGTGCAGGATTATGGCCCAATAAGTAATAATTCTGGTTTGTCTGAATCTAAGAGATTCTTGCTTGCAGTTATGTCCATCATGTTGAGGAAGGTCTTTTTTGGTTTTGTTTCATGTTTTTATGAATATTAAGCATTGTTCTGTTTAGAAATGTGATGCAATTCACCCTGAAACAAAAATAGAATTAGGCTTCATTTCAACTCAACTTCAACTTCTCTGTTCTTACTCAACTTCTCTGTTCTGTTTCTCTGTTCTAAGTTGGAAAATGGCCATAATTATTTGATGAACTTTCAGGATTTTGGTCTCACTAAAGGCCTGTTCACACCTAGAAGGAAAATAACTAATACCAAAGCACATTATTGGCTTGTTTATTGTAAGTCAACCCTGCCATTTTGCCTTTAGGACAGATTGTTACTGGCTGTCAATCATTTTATTCTACTTCATTTAGAAAAAAAACTGTCTACAGTATATACGCTCTTAGTTGATCTTAGAAGCAAACGCAAAGTATTATTGTCTTCTAATGTAGGCCATCATATTTGAATATGGATTTATTGTTGAATATTGATTGTTTATTTACTCTCTCAGGAGTTTTTTCTTTACAAAATTAAATAAGGTCCCTCCATTTTTAGTTGTTCAAGTAAATTTTGTGTTGAGCCCAATAATCGCTTTGACTCACACGCTGAAAATGGCGGACGTGAAAAAACAAATATGGTGATGCGCACCTGTCAATCAATATTGGTGTTTTTAACCATTAACAACCATTTTTATGTTGTTAAATTAAAAAAAAAGGACTGGGTGTGTTTATATCACCTCAATATGATGGTCTATACACTATACCTATGCATATGTCTGTCCAAACAGCTTAAAAAGTTGATTTTTCACCATAGGTGCCCTTTAAAACTTTAAAAGATAATTTTTTTTCTAATGATATATGATTTAATACATTTCTATTTAAAAATATAATAAATAAATAAATAAATGTTCTCATATTTTGTTATTCTAAAAGTTTAGGAAATGTTTTTGGTTCATCAAAAAGTGTGGTTATATTGAGCATCCGGCAAGCTAATCCAGCAAAAAATACTGCTTAAAATGTCACTAAAATGCAGTATTTAAACCTTGTAATTACATACAAGATAAGGCAAACTGTAAAAAGGTCCACTTTTTTAGAAAAAAGAACCATCCCTTTCATGTTTCTTAATTAAAACAAGTTTTTGTGTTGCCTTTATATTGCCTTGCTCTCATAGTGTTGGTAGCTGCTGACTTGCATTTTGTTTCAGCTTAAATTTATTTTTTATTATTGTACTGAAGCAAAACGCACCTTAAATCTTCGAGTACCTGAGGAAATAAGTGAAAAATATTAAAGCAATTTTTTTTTTTTTTTTGGCGAACTATCCCTTTAAGGCGGGAAAAAGGCGAGGCTTCACTAAACTCCACACAGAAAATGATTTAATGGCGGCCTTTCGGTTATTAACGGATGAGTCTGAGGTAAGAAAGAGGTTGCGAAATATTATATTATATTATATTTATATAATATTATATTTTTTAAAAGTATATATTTCGCAACTGTTTACCAAAAAAAGTGTTCAATATCAACAGTATTATCAATGTGGTGCAAATAACCCGACATTTCTGTTAGTTACTTTTAGGATATGAAAGTTTAGTATAAACCATAGACCCTTTTAGCTTGTGTTGTATGAACTGAATGTTAACTGAGACAGACATGTTTCAAATAATCTTTTGTTTTCCACAGCGGAATGTCTGGAGAGAAAATTTGTGGAGAAATGAGGTAAAGTTTTATTTTTGGTAAAACTAATTACCCATAATCTAATCCAAAAGCGCCATCAGCTGTAGTCTCAGTGAAGTTGTTTAATTGAGTGTTCAGTACATTGGGCCCGTCACAATAATCAATAAATCGACTTATCTTAACACATGTCATGGACATGACCTCAGACATTTTTAGTGAGGCAATCTATATCGCAAAAAACTATTCTAGCAACAATATAGCTGATTGTGCAACCTCTCTATCTCTATTGGAGGTGTCCGTGTCAGGTTAAAAACACTATAGCATAAACACACTATAGATTATTTTCATGCGGGTGCCTGACGTCTGAAAATAGATCTGGTAGCAGAAATCACAGCCTGTTACCTTTCAACTTGCACTTTTTTTAAAAATTTTTATTTATTTAGTATTTGTTTTTTATATTCTGATTCCAGTGCCTCATTATTAAATAGTTAAAACGACTATAATAAAATAAAATTTTCTTAAAAATAAATTGCGTGTTTCTTGGAAGTGTGTAAATGTATTGTGATGATATTATATTGGCATTTTGGCATTATATTATGAGTGGCATAAAATGATCTTAATTATTGTTTATTGCAATGTATTTTGGTGCAAAATATATCATACAACAAAATATTAATATTGTGAAAGGCCAAGTGTCAATGTTCATTTTAAAAGTACACATATTTCCATAACTCACTCTGTCTAAAAAAATAATAAATAAAAACACTGATTACTGTTCAAAGTTTGGACTTTTAAAAAAGCAAGGATTTATTAAATTAAGCAGGCATGGTTGTCAGACATTTCTAACTGTACAAAATGTTTTTGCGTTAAATTAGTTTCATGTTTCACATCAGCTTTCAACAAAGATAATAATTCTAAAGCATCAAATTAGGACAGTAGAATCATTTCTGAAGGATCACGTGACACTGAACTCAAATAATGATGCTGCTAATTCAGCTTTGCATCCCTTGCATAAGCATGATTCTAAGATTATAAGCATATATAATAATGTATACAACTACATCAACATTATTAATGAAAAAAGACAATACTAATATATACAAAAAAACAGATTTTTTTAAATCAGATTCAAAAGTTTTTGTGTATACCCACCTATATACCCAGACACTGATACGAATCAAACCTGGCAGGAAACCTTACTTTAACCACTAAATGACTTGGCCGGAAGAGATCTGTGGGTGTGAATATTTTTTCCTTGGCAGAAAGAAAAAAAACATACCTATATATAAGCCTGTATATTTCCTCTTTGCATAACACAGCAGCTCTTAGGTGAAATATACAGTCTTAATACGACAATGGTGTTTTTTGGAGGATTGATGTACATCTGTTTTGAAGTGCTCATTGCTATCGGCTGTGTTCTGGGCAATGGGTTGGTGATGTGGGCCGTGTGGAGGAGTGGTTCATTAAGTAAGCCCACTTTCTGCTTGATTGTATCTCTGTCAGTGGCTGATCTCCTGGTCGGGGCTGTGGCTGTTCCTCTGGCTCTGATTGTGGATATGCATGTGAAGATGTCTTTCCATGCATGTCTGTTCATCAGCTGTTTTCTCATCGTGCCGCTTCAGGCGTCAGTGCTCACACTTCTGGCCATCGCTGTTGATCGTTGCCTGCGGGTTTGCATCCCATTCAGGTGAGTCGGCCTCAAACTTTAATGTATTTCAAGGTGTTGCATGTTTAAATTAGTGTAATGCAACACAGAATGCATTGGATTATAGGGATTTTGTAATTTGACCTTGCAATTTCAAAGCATTTAAAAACTTTTTTTTTTATTTATTCTGTAAATATGTAATTTTGTATATATAAAAAAATGTATTAAAAATGTTATAATTATTAAAAATGTATAAAAATGTAATTTTATAAATACACATCATAACTATAATTTTAAACCCCCTCAAATAACTGTAAAACACCTTGGGTGTATGGTTATATATAAATCCACATTACCTTATATTACATGAAATTTTTTTCCTTACAAACTGATTTTTATACACTCACCGGCCACTTTATTAGGTACACCTGTCCAACTGCTTGTTAATGCAAATTTCTGATCAGCCAATCACATGACAGCAGCTCAATGCATGTAGACCAGGGGTTTTCAAACTGGGGGCCGCCAGATCGCGCTAGGGGGGCCGCAAAAATTTTTAGATAAGGGGTAATCAATGGGCCCACATGGATGAATTTTGTGTCCCGCATCATTCTGAAGGTTAATATATTTTTATTATAATTTAAGCTCAAAAGTACTGCAAAAATTAAGCTTTATGCTTATGTCATTTAAATGCAGTTGACACTTTCGTGAAACAGGATAAGAAGCGCAGCGGCTTGCCTCTGTGCACAGGGACTTTTATTGAATAAGCGCTTCTGTCCGGCCGCTTCCTGTGATTTTTGGCGCTTGTCTGCCGCACCTGACGGCGTTTACCTTTCACTTACGCTTACCTCTTTTACGCTAAACAACTAAATGAATGCTCAGGTCTATTTACTGACAATATTTCAGTTAAAATACATGATCAATAAGAACATTATCGGAGGCTGAAAGTACTTCTCTGTTTATGGCTTCCGTTCCTAAGTAAGCGATCAGCTGGGTGCTGCGGAGTGCGCGCCTCTCTGCGCAGGCTTCACTCATATAAAACAAATAGCATTTTAAAGACACGGCACAACATTGCACCTCGTCCACAGTGAGACAGGCTTTACACTTTGCATTGTACAAATATCAGACGGTCCTCTTTGCAGCATGGCAAACAAACATATTAAAGATGTAAAGCAAAAAGTGCTGCAATAACAATGAATGGAGCTGTCATCACATCAGCGAGTGCTCAGAGTTTCACTCCTGTTACACTAATGACAGCTGGATGAGCTCTGCAGTGGACCTCTTACATTGGTTCATAAATGGATAATTAAAAAAATTAAATTGTATACACCCTGAGTAAAACCACTATAGCCTATAAAAATGATAATGTATCTGTTTGTGTTGTTATAGAGCTAATTAATTATTAAATATTAAAATGTATTAGTGCTCTGTATTTAATGGAGCTCAACATATCTGATCAAACTTTAATACTCTGAATATAAATGCATTTTTTTCAAGATGTTCCACTTTTTCCCATATTTATTTGTGTAACTAATTTAAATGTAATGTTCAGTATTATTATTAATAGAACACACTGGTATGGACATTTTAAAGTCAGCAAAGCTTCTAAAATTAAGCAAAGTAAAACTTGTGGCTCTTTGAACTTGAATACCCAATTCTAGATCGCATTTAGGAAATTATTTTTTATCAGTGTAAGTCAGGATTGTCGACCTGAGTAAATTATGATGTGCACAAAAAAAGGAATAAAAATAAACAAAACACACTGAACCACTACAGCCTCCATTGTAGTATTGCTAGTTACAACAGTACAGTTAACTGTTAACCATTAACAGGCTGATGACTGACAAAACTCTTTAAAACTTCAAAGCTTTAAATCTTTAGATACATTTAGACTCTCAGCTGTAAGGGTAAATACAGAAGAGTCTAGCTGTGCATAGGCAGAAAAAAAGCATTAAAATGGCATAAAAACTGTGTAAACGTGATGACTCAAACACAGAATATGGCTTGATGGAATCCATTCGCCCTACACAAAGGGGCCCTCAGCTGAAAAAGTTTGAAAACCCCTGATGTAGACGATCTGCTGCAGTTTAAACCAAGCATTAGAATGGGAAAGAAAGGGGATTTAAGTGACTTTGAACTTGGCATGGTGAGTGGCAGTTCTGTGGGCACAAATGCCTTGTTGATGCCAGAGGTCAGAGGAGAATGGCCAGACTGGTTCCAGCCGATAGTGATGTGCGATACCACTGGTTTCCGATCCGATACCAAGTAAAATGAAGGCAAATATCGACGATACCAATACTTTGCCCAAAAAATACTGTTTGGGAAATTAAGTGAAGTTTATTCATAAACTAATTTCGAGAGGATCACGTGCTTATGATTTATCACGGCCAGTCTCGTATTTGCTAATCACTAATCTTCCAATCATATGAGCCCTAAGGCACCATAAATAGCCTCAGTTTTCAGTTCACTTTATCTTCGTTTGGAAGAAACCTCCTCCCCTATTCTCCTCCTTTACCTGTGATTGGGCGGCACGGCGGTCCAGTGGTTAGCACTGCGAACCACACAGCAAGAATACTGCCGGTCCTAGTTCCATAGGACCGGTGGGTGTTTCTGTGGGGAGTTTGTATGTCCTTCCCGTGTCCGCGTGGGTTTTCCCCGGGTTCTCCGGTTTCCTCCCACCATCCAAAGACATTCAACATACATAACAATCAAGCTTGTCTAATTCCTTACGTTCCCTTAGCTACAGCAGCAGGGGAGTTCTGAGATCCACCGAGCTCGGGCTCCCTTCTTGCTCTGCCAACGGGAGGAAGCCCCGGGCTCGAGGAGCCCTTGAGCTCGGGGCTCTCTCCCGGGACAGCATGCCAAATAAGCTTTGTAAATCATCAGCTAAGTGTGAACACTTGAAAGTAACAAGTAGTGTACTTAAAAGTGTCACTTTATACTAAATTCGAGACATATTACAGGTTATTCTTGTTTACTGATGGAGAATTATCATACAAAAGGAGCCAACTAATATATATTTTTGACAGCATCTGAGCATGTATATCTTTAAACGCCTGCCTGAACATCTTAACATAAAACAATAGACATTCACACCTTTTATTTTAGTGACGTTGATCCGGTCCCCTTGAAGATTTTTAACCTTTTTCTTTTGTTTTATCATTGTCACAAAAACCAAAGGCCCCAAAATACAGCCACATCGCCACATTTTCTCCCTCTCTACCTGGATGGTGCCTGCCTGCTGCACCTAAGAACTTTGCAAGTGATGTCTGTCTTGCCCCAGCAGCACCTGTGCCTCTCCTTTCCTCCTCTTCTGACCGCCTAATCATGACGTAGTCATATTCTGTGTTGTGATTTATATGTAATGTAGGTGTTTGATAAGGTTTGTGGTTTTACCTCAGTACCTCAATGTTTTGTTACACTTTTTACAAACAGCATCATTTGAGTTTTTGGAAGTGAAATAGCTCCACACAAAACTTTGCTTGCAGGCACCCATATACAATGACAGCGTGACTGAACAACATGCGCCAGCGGACGGACCTAGCATGCTCTGCAGTTATACAGTGCCATATTACGCACATGACTTGGCAGGCGAAAGAACAAGTAGTTCCGCCTAAGTTGGCTATATTCAGATAAACTAGGATAATTGTTGTTACTTTCCGCTGTATTTCTGTTTCCAATAAGCTACATATTTGCTCCAAATTACTGAAAAATCGATATTTTGATAAGATAATTGATTCTAAAACACACAACGCTGGTATCGGATATACCAGGGGTCGGCAACCCAAAATGTTGAAAGAGCCATATTGGACCAAAAAAAACAAAAAACAAATATGTTTGGAGCCGCAAAAAATGTAAAGCCTTATATAAGCCTTATAATGAAGGAAACACATGCTGTATGTATCTACAGTAGCTATATTAGCCTACTATAAAAATGACTAAGTTGGCTACAAATAAATAATGAGCCTTTATGATTAAATAGTCACTGAAATCAGGTGGTTGGTGTTAATTTCGTTGTCATTTAAACACTTCAGCACAGCCTCTGGTCTTTCAGTGGTATTAAATTGATCATTTCTTCTTGCGGCCCATCAGAGTTCACATACCTGCATAAAAGCGCATTGAATATCGGTCACATCACAGGCAATTGAGTATGCTGGCACTGAATTAATGTCCTTGGTTTGCTGATCGGTGATGTTACCTGCCATTTTAATAGCCCTCTCCTTCACTGTCTTAGCGGAGAGAGGTATATCTTTAATTTTTTGTATTATCTTGGTTTGGTTTTTGAAGTCTGCAAATAGGTGTTCTAATATGTTGAATGACTCCTTCATGTAGTCACCATCTGTGAACGGTTTTCCATGCTTTATTATGTCCCGGTTTGTTTACAACAGCCACCTGCCCGGCATCCCGCCCTGCTGATAGAAACGTGTGTCGCAGGCTATGACGCAAATCTTCGTTGACAGAAATGTTGAAATTAAATATTAATTCTACACACTTTTACAGCATTTGAAAACGTTAAAAAATGTTTGTCCTCCTATAGAAATCATATTAAAACAAAAATATATACTAACCTTCCCCATCTTTTTGAACATTTTTGAAAAAACTTCAGGGAGCCACAAGGGCAGCGCTAAAGAGCCGCATGCGGCTCTAGAGCCGCGGGTTGCTGACCCCTGGGATATACCGATATTTTACTTCCCTGCAATATGGATATTGCAAATACTATTATCGCTAAAAGGTTAAAGTCCCCGTGGACCAGAAATTGCAACCGTTTTTTTCCGTATTTTGAAGCAGTTTTTAGAGAAACAGAATATAAATGAGTAAACAATTGGCGTGGCTTTTTTTTCTACTGCAAACTGATTGAATGCAGTACGGTAGGCATTTCATTCAGAAAAATCAGGAAAAGTGTTTGGAGAGGCTTATTACAACCTAACAGACTCCTCCTGCTCACCATTTCTGTTTGTTGTCGAAACTGACAGCTGACGGGGGGGTGGTTAAGTATGTTAGCCCCGCTTAATACCTCAAACTGACATAATCTGAGAATTAAAATGCACAGGAAGTGCATTTTCAGATTTCAATTAAAGATTACAAGGCAATTATTATTTTTTTAATGACCTGCACAGATGAATTGATCACCACAAAACTAGCAATGTGCGCTAACAAAATCAATATGGCTAATTTTGATTTCATTTGTACTTTTAATTTTATTTAAAGCTCCTAAAGAAATGGTTATCTGTTTTCTTCCCCAGGTATAAGTCTACAGTCACTAAGAAGCGCTCGTGGATCATCGCCGCTGTGTGCTGGATGCTGGCGTTCATGCTGGGATTCTTACCGATGTTTGGATGGTACAATCACGACACACTGGCACAACACAACTCCACATCCATTGACTGTGAATTCGTCGCTGTCATTTCCATCTCATACCTCGTCCACTTTATCTTTGAGGGCTGTTTCCTTCCTCCTCTGGCCGTCATGACTGCTTTGTATTACTACGTATTTTATAAAATCAGGAGGCAGTCGAGGGGAGCACTTGGCGAAACTGGACCCTATACACAAAAAGAGCAAAAACTTGCAAGCTCTCTGGTTTTGGTTTTGGCTCTTTTTGCTGTCTGCTGGCTGCCGTTACACATAATACAGTCTATCATGTTTTATAATCACAGCGTTTATGTACCATCCATTGCTTTGTACTCCGGCATTCTCCTTTCTCATGCTAACTCAGCGGTTAACCCTGTGGTGTATGCTTACAAAGTCCCTAAGATGAAGCGGGAGTACATGAGGATTTGGAGGAGGATTACGGGTCGGGAACAGACGATGGATATAAACATCAGGACTGCTGCTAGTAATACGATCGATAGCCATGATGGACGAGAGCATGTGAAAATCAGCCCGAATGTGGGAGACAGTGACATGAATGGCATTTAGTGTTCATTCTGCTGCTCACATACAACATCAGGGTGTCCACGGGGTCTTAAGAAGTAGTTAATGAATCAATTTAGAATGGTTTAAGACCCCTAAAAAGTCTTAAATGCTATTTTGCGAGGTATTCAATTTTGATATCATTTGTGATTATTTTTGTATGCTAATGTTTGCCTGAATTTAAAGGAAAATAAAATAAAAATAAAATTTCAAATCCATACTATTTCTTTTTAAGCTTTGTTCAATAAATAATTCCCCCAAAAATTAGACGCTTTTAAATATAATGACACTTACAAATTTAAGCAGTTAAAATATTTTGCAATAAATGACATTTTACAGTACATTAAAAAATAAAACTTATTTAAATGTGTAATATTTTAGAATTATTTTATAAATAAATAAAATGTGAGTTTTAACAAAACAAAAAGCAAAAAATAAAATCTGACCCGAGACTGCTTTGAGTTGTCTCACCTTTCAAGCTTTCCTGTCCCTAACTAATAAATTCACTAACTGGTAGCAATTACACTGTTTTGCCAGCAGGGCTCCTCCAAACACCACTGCCAGAGTCTGAGAGTCACTGCAGGATGTCTCTTAACAGAATATGAATAATGTGTAGTTTACTGCATAAATTATGCCCGCAGGCGGCACCATAATAGAATATGAACCTGCAGTCAAGGCTCATATGTTTCTTGGTACTAATAAGAGCCACTTAATGATATGTATGAGCTGTGCAGTAAACAGAAAATAGAAATAGACTGTTTGAAATGTTTTTTTTTTAAAATAATATTTTACACACACACACACACATATTTTTTATTTTTTTGTTTTAAATATTTCCCAAATGATGTTTAACAGAGCAAGGAAATTTTCACAGTATGTCTGATAATATTTTTTCTTCTGGAGAAAGTCTCGGCTTTCGGCTAGAATAAAAGCAGTTTTGAAGTTTTTAAAAACCATTTAAGGGTAAAAAATGATTAGCCTCTTTAAGTTAATTTTATTTTCGATAGTCTACAGAACAAACCACCGTTATACAATAACTTGCCTAATTACCCTGACCTGCCTAGTTAACCTAATCAACCTATAGTTAAGCCTTTAAATGTCACTTTAAGCTGTATAGAAGTTATTTGAAAAATATCTAGTCAAATATTATGTACTGTCATTATGGCAAAGATTAAATAAATCAGTTATTAGAAATGAGTTATTAAAACTATTATGTTTAGAAATGTGTTGAAAATATCTTCTCTTTGTTAAACAGAAATTGGGGAAAAAAATAAATGGGGGCGCTAATAATTCAGGAGGGGCTAATAATTCTGACTTCAACTTTATATTTATATATATATATACACACATACAAAAAAAGAACAAAATAATATAATAAAAAAATTATAAAATCTAAGATTTATATTTTCTTTATAAATCTACTTAAAGAATCGCCCATAAAAAATGTAATGTTGCTTTATGAGAATGGCAAAAAACATGTTTGCATTGACAAAACATTTAATAAGATTGATTAAAAACATATACAAGTTATATTTACAATATAAATAACATGAGTTGTGCATAATAAAACATAATAGTGATGTGATGAAGCAATGAAAGAAGCTGTTCTTCTTAAACAAATAAACAAATAACTATTAACTGTGACCTGTGATCACAAAACCTGTCTTTCAATGCACGTGTATTTAAGGGACAAATTATAAATTGATATTTTATGCAAAAAATAATTTGAATATAAGTAAAGATAAGACGTTGAAAAACGTATACAATTAGCATTATGCGTGTCTAAGAACCTAATTCCTCAAAATTAAGATTTTTTTATAACATCAAATCTCAGATTTCTGCCTATCATTGTCATAAACCAAACATCAATGGAGAGCTGGATCTCAATTTAAAAAGCTGACACCTATGATTGGTTTTGTGTTCTAGAGTCACTTATAACTCTAAATGAAACATCACATAACAGTTTACGGGTCCTGACTGCTTAAAGATGCTCCAGAATTTCTTTATTTTCATGATTTGTTTTCACTCGTGGTCATTGTGTCTCTCAGGGAAGGCAATAGACTGTATAGTTATCACCTGAATAGGATGTGATCCTTCCCACAAACTATACAACCTACTACCTCACCTTGAAGAAACACACAGGTTCACTGTGGAGGAAAACAATGTCTAGCTCAGAAAGAAGTCAGATATATGTCTTTTATGATTTACTTGAAAAAACGGCTATTTTGCTGGCATGGTGGCTCAGTGGTTAGCACTGTGGTCCCACAGCAAGAAGGTCGCTGGTTCGAGCCTTGGCTGGGTCATTTGGCATTTCTGTGTGGAGTTTGCATGTTCTCCCTGTGTTGGAGTGGGTTTCCTTCGGGTGCTTCGGTTTCCCCCACAGTTTAAACACATCATTTGCTATAGGTGAATTGGGTAAGCTAAATTGTCCGTAGTGTATGTGTGAATGAGAGTGAATGGGTGTTTCCCAGTACTGGGTTGTGGCTGAACAGGCATCGCTGCGTAAAACATATGCCGCAATTGTTGACGGAGAACATGCAAACTCCACACGGAAATGCCAACTGATGCAGCCGAGGCTCGAGCTAGCGACCTTCTTGCTGTGAGGCAGAGTGTAAGATTGAGAAGCGTCACAGGAGAGGTGTCTTCAGCTGGTTAATCTGCATCCCTAAAGAAAGACAGTAGATTGTATAGTTATCTCAAAGGGAGGTTTTATACTCCACAACTATTCAATCTACTACCTCAGCTTAGGGGACAGAAACAAACTTGACAAGGCTTCGGTTTCTCTGGGTCTGCAAAAGGGGTGACAAAGGAGAAAATATCATTTATTATCAATCGTACAAAATGATATGACAATGTTAAGCCTTTATTTGGCTGTCTAGGGTTAGGGTTAGTTTAGTCATATTTAAAAGAGAATGAAAATGTTTGTAGGTTTAATCCACTGAGTATTTGTTTCTGAACCCTTTTGAAGTTAAAACATTGGTATTGTGTTGTCTAAAAATGTATATCACCGGCCACTTTATTAGGTACAGCTGTCCAACTGCTTGTTAAGGCAAATTTCTAATCAGCCAATCACATGGCAGCAACTCAATGCATTTAGGCATGTAGACATGGTCAAGACGATCTGCTGCAGTTTAATCCGAGCATCAGAATGGGGAAGAAAGGTGATTTAAGTGACTTTAAATGTGGCATGGTTGTTGGTGCCAGATGAGCTTGTCTGAGTATTGCGGAAACTGCTGATCTACTGAGATTGTCACGCACAGCCATCTCTAAAGTCTGTAAAGGAGAAAATATTCATTGAGCCAGAGGTCAATGGAGAATGGCCAGACTGGTTCCAGCTGATAGAAAGGCAACAGTAACTCAAATAACCACTCGTTACAACTAAGGTCTGCAGAAAAGCATCTCTGAACACACAACACATCCAAACTTGAGGCGGGTGGGCTACAGCAGCAGAAGACCACACCAGGTGCCACTCAAGAACAGGAAACTGAGGCTACAATTCAAACAGGCTCAACAAAATTGGACTATAGAAGATTGGAGAAACGTTGCCTGGCCTGAGTTTTGATTTCTGCTGTGACATTCAGATAGTCGGGTCAGAATTAGGCATCAAGAACATGAAAGCATGGATCCATCCTGCCTTGTATCAGGGGTTCAGGCTGCTGGTGGTGGTGTAATGGTGTGGGGGATATTTTCTTGGCACACTTTGGGCCCATTAGTGTCAACACCACAGCCTACCTGAGTATTGTTGCTGACCATGTCCATCCCTTTATGACCACAGTGTACCCATCTCCTGAGGGCTACTTTCAGCAGGATGACACACCATGTCATAAAGCGGGAATCGTCTCAGACTGGTTTCTTGAACATGAGAATGTTCTCTGTACTCATATGGCCTCCACAGTCACCAGACTCAATCCAATAGAGCACCTTTGGAATGTGGTGAAACAGGAGATTTGCATCATGGATGAGCAGCCGACAAATCTGCAGCAAGTGTGTGATGCTATCATCTCAATATGGACCAAAATCCAACCTGGGACTAGTAAGGTGTACCCAATAAAGTGGCCGGTGAGTGTATACTTTATTTGAAAAAAGTGTCAACAGACCTTATGAACTAAAACACTATTTTAAAAACAACTATTTTATTTTATTTTTAATGACATGCACTGATGAACTGATCACCACAAAGCAAGCAATGCGAGCGAGCACATAATCAATGTGGTTTAATGATTTCATGTGTACTTTAATCTTGGTGTGAAGCAGTGCTGGGTGTCTGGCAGGCAGGTCACGGGGGCAGCAAAGGGGCGGAGAGATGCCAACGTCTCTTTGCATAAATTAGCATGAGAACCGGAGGAGCTGAAAGACATGCTCAATTCCTCTCTGGTCTAATTAATGGCAGTGATTGAAATGTTTTGGCCTGGCAGATTGCCGAGACGGCAGGGCAGTGTGAGGAAAAAACAGACGGAGAGGCGGACGAAGACTCGCAAACAAAATGCTGGAGCTGAGAAAAGCAAAATAAGCCTAAGCTGTAAGTAATGCACTTTGACAATTATTTTTTCACCATTTTTGCACTCAACTAATGACGTTTGCTGTTTGTTCAAACTACAAATTTTAAATCAGGGTGTCCTTAAATCCTTAAAAAGTCTTAAATTCCATAGTCTTTAAATGTAAGTCTTAAAAAAAGTGAAATGTATTGTATTTGCACACATTTTTGAGTTTGACCTGTGGTACAAAATTAACTCTTTTTGCTGTTTTATTCAATTGTATGGTTGTGTCAGACAGTTTGGAGATCAGACCTTTTCTGTATATATTCTGGTAAATTTTTTTCATCTTTTTTAGGGGCAGTTTTTATAGAAAAAAAAAACACACAAAATATGAAACAATTAATTTATTCGTTTTCTTTTTGGCTTATTCCCTTAATTAATCTGGGGTCGCCACAGCGGTATGAACCGCCAACTTATCCAGTAAGTTTTTTTATGCAGCGGATGCCCTTCCAGCCACAACCCATCTCTGGGAATCATCTACACACACTCATACACACACACACACACACACACACACACACTATGGACAATTTAGCCTACCCTAACTCACCTATACCACGTCTTTGGTGGATTTCCTCCGGGTGCTCCAGTTTCTCCCACAAGTCCAAATACGAGGAGAACATGCAAACTCCACAGAGATTGCCTGCTGACCCAGCCGAGGCTCAAAACAGCGACCTTCTTGCTGTGAGATGACAGCACTACCTACTGCGCTATCCACAGTGTCGCCTATTTTTCTTTTTCTTATTCATTTTGTTCAAGGGTGACGCGGTGGCGCGGTAGGTAGTGCTGTTGCCTCACTGCCAGTCATTTCTGTGTAAAGTTTGCATGTTCTCCCAGTGTTTGCATGGGTTTCCTATGGGTGCTCTGGTTTACCCCACAGTGCAAAAACATGCGCTATGGTGAAGGTGAGGTGAACAAACTAAATTGTTCGTAGTATATGAGTATGAATGAGAGTGTATGGGAGTTTCCCAGTACTGGGTTGCAGCTGGAAGGGCATCTGCTGTGTAAAACATATACTGGATAAGTTGGCAGTTCATTCTGCTGTGGCGACCCCTGATGAATAAAGGAACTAAGCCGAAACACGAATGAATGAATGAATAATAAAAATAATGCATTAAAATTTATGTTGTTTTTAATCATTGATTTATTCAAGACTGTTATAATACTTTTAGTATTATTATTAAGTAATTAAGTTTATTTAAATGAACATTAGTGGCATTATAACAAGCTGCAATTTAAAGAGCTCTTTAAAATGATCTATTAAATATCTTTTTATATATTTTCATTTATTCATTTTCTCGTCGGCTTAGTCCCTTTATTAATCTGTGGTCGCTACAGTGGAATGAACTGCCAACTTATCCTTTTTACGCAGCGGATGCCCTTCCAGCCGCAACCCATCTCTGGGGAGCATCCACACACACATTCAATTCAATTCAATTCATTCACATTCACACACACACTCATACACTACGGACAATTTAGCCAACCCAATTCACCTGTACCGCATGGCTTTGGACTGTGGGGGAAACCGGAGCACCCAGAGGAAACCCACGCGAAGGCAGGGAGAACATGCAAACTCCACACAGAAACGCCAACTGAGCTGAGGTTCGAACCAGCGATCCAGCGACCTTCTTGCTGTGAGGCGACAGCACTACCTACTGCTCCACTGCCTTGCCCCTTTTTATATATTTTACATTTTTATATTTATATATTTTAATTGTATTTGTAAATTTACATATTTTTTATATTCATATGAAAATAATTTATTTTATATTCTTTATTCAGAAAAGTGGCATTATGTAAACAAACTATTTTAAATAGCTACATATTTAAATTGATCAAATTCATCTTGATATTTATATGTATATTTTTTTTTCTTTTTTTTTTATACTTATATGAAAATAATTGATAGTATATATGCTTTATTAAAAAACAGCAACAGTGGCCTTATAGACAAACTAATTTAAAGAGCTAACTAAAGAGCTTTTTATTTATATTTATAGTTATATTTTTATTTTATTTTTTATTATATATATATATATATATATATATATATATATGGAAATAAAAGATTTTAAATTATTAAAAAAATAAAAATAAATTGGCATTATGTAAACGTAATTTAAAAAACTCAATCTTTAAAATGATCAAATAAATATCTTAAAATGAGTTTTGATAGATATCAGGACTGATGCTGGTAAAGAAATGAGCGTTCATCAATATGATGCATTTTAATGATGTTTTAGAGAAACACTTTTGTCCTCTATGGATGCATGTGTAACTTCTTTTTAATTGACGCACAAGAGTTAAATAAAATGTTTGTTTACAATCATTATTTCTGTCTTTCAGCTCACCACAGTGCATTCTGGGATTGCCTCATCCATAGAGGACGTGTGCTGGCAAAACAAGGTATGAGGCAACATTACTTAAACATGCTGAACACATTCTGGAGTGTGTTTATGATTTATGAAAATGTCGTCTAGGTAGGCGACTCGCTGCGTTCAGTGCATTTCTCTGGGGCTGCTTTCTCTCTGGCTCTGTGGCCTCATTTGACATTTGTTTTGGATCTCGAAAGGCCTATTTGTTATTCCATCACAGTATATGGTCCACGTCTCAC